CAGTACCTGGTTATATGTCATTATAAAATTGGTTATTGGCAATTAATTTACCAGACTAAAATTCACTCACAAAAGTATTTGTGTAACAATAAAAACACTTTAAATAGATGGTTAAAAACGGGGTACTTCATACTATATCTGTATATCAAAAGACAACACGGAATACTAATTTTGGATTTCTGTTGTCGACCATGTCGACAATTAATACTTAAGTGTGAGTCCCGCTTTTAAATTTAACCCTTTTGTTGTGAGCAGCGAAATTCCGGTTAATGTCTAATGTGTTTCATACGATTCGTGCATAAAATAACACCAGCAAACTCGTAGTGCGCTTAATGCTTTTTCTGAACAGTTAGTCTCATTATATTTAAGCTTCCGCAATCGATATTTTGTGTGGGGATTGGGCAAACAACAAATTCTTGGTTTGGAGATATATAGTATGTGAATTGGGATGCAATCGGTCGAATTAAGTGTTTATCATGTCAGTACACGTCTACATCGAGGCGCTTTTACGTATAGTGTTGAGAGGGAAACATGACGCATACTACGTAGATTTGTGGGCGGATAGTTATTTCAAGGGTCACCTTCAACGAAGATCGATGTAACCGATCTACGTAACGTAAGACGAAAGCAAATTTTGAAACATAGAAATACATATAACCTAAATCTATTTCCATGTTCAAATCTATTATAATTCGGCGGCTGGTGTACCGCGTCACGAATTGTGATAATTTAATTTAAATAATTTAATATAATATAATAATTTAATATACAAAACATAATTGTTATACTAACAACTTTAATTTACATTAAATATATTCATTATTAGGGTTCTTTCGGGCACTGATTACAAATATGCGATCAGTCAAGTTGTCCCAGTCAAGTTGGCAAGTTGTATATTTCACAACAAAACACACTTTTAAACGTTTCGTTTTTGGCGCCGCCATTTTTGATTCATAATGCATCCTCATATTTTGCTAAGTTAATTGACACTTCAAAACACAAATGGTCCGCCAAATGTGCGATATAATGTTAAGAAGCGCAACTGCGTTTTCAGACATATTCGCGTCCTACCAGAGAAACTATTTTCACACACCATTGCATCTTTGCCAGACAAGAAAACAAACAAAAATATGATTATTTATTCATGTATATACATAAATAAAATACATACCTTACATTTAAAAACAAAATACAACGACCTTGCAATAATTTGAGCACTAGTATCAGCAAACGGGCGCCATTCGCCTGTAGTCTACAACGGGTGGGAAGCGGCATACGCCAGGAAAAGAAGCACACATCCAGAATGATTATATATATATTGCGATACTCGGTTATCTAAAGATGCCCTGTCAAAAACATCACGTAAAAGTCCAAACGCGTAATATAATACGTTACCGAAAATAGCATACAGCGCGCCAACCAGCTGATTATTTGCAGCTGACGCCACACAATGATGTGCGCATGTGCTGCATAACCTTTATACGTCTGGAACGTGGATTTCAGTGACTTCTGTATTATAAGGGCAACTCTTCAATATGTTTTACAATATTATAAATCTCATATAACTGACTTCGCAATTCCCACTACCTACTTCGCCTGTTAATGAGTTTCCAAACGAAAACAAAAACAAACAAAAAAACGTCAAAGCCAGAAACACCGAATTTCTCCCAAATTTCTATGATGTTCTTGATAAGAATATAAACTCAGTTCAGCGGCTGTTTATTGGAGTCTTTCTTGTGATAAACAATTAGGATGTACATTTTTTGATGACAAAAGAAAATGGCGATAATAGCCTTAATCGGGAACTGCATTTCAGAAACGTAATTTATAAATATGCATAACAATTTGCCAACATAATTACGTACATGATATGACACAATTGTGTCAATATTTCACTTTTATAAATATATGTTTCTTTGAAATGTAGAACAGTTGTTATCTCGCTAAAATGTATCAGAGAATTAGATAACGAAGCTAAACGGGGAATTAGTCGAAATCAATTAGCAACACCCAGTGGAACATAGTCGGGCTTGTACGTGACTCAAATATACTTCCTATACTCTAAGATGAAATTTTCATGCAAAAAACGTAATTTACACAAAACAGAACGTTTTTGTTAATTTTTTTTAGAACGAAATTGTCCAAAAATCAGGTTGGTGTTTTAAGATCGGGCGGCAGACCTCTGTCAACTTTCTGTGTATGTTTCATTTTGTGAGTATCCTATTGGTTATACATCGCCCAATATAACTCTATAGCAGAGTTTTGTTAACATCGACCTCGAACATATCAGTGAAATGAGAACGTGAAGGGCTTTAATTGGTGTTTAATTGGCATGGCCCATGCAATTGTCTTCATTCAATAACACGCGGAACTAGTTAATATATTTCTTAAATTTATTTGTAAAATCAAATAAAGTCAAATTATGTTCGTTTAGTTAAGGTGGCTTATTGTGTACATGTACAATACCCCGGGCAGTAAATCAAATCGCAATTAGATGTACATTCGTGTCGTTCAATGATACAGAAATGTTCAAAAGCACATCATTTATATATATATAAAATGATTTCTCATAGTACAAAGTCGTGGCTTGAAATGCAATTGAAATACATGTGTTACTAGGTCAGTGGTTCACTGAAATCGTTAATGGCACACCACAGGCACCATTTGCCCAAATAGAAGATAATCGATAAAATGAATGTACGTGGATGACTAGTATTGAAGTAGGTATGATTGATAACGACTGGGATCACGTCGATTTCGTCGCAGTAGAATATATTGCTCGAACGTGTGCAGTTTATGATGATTGGTTAAAGTATACCAAACTATGGACGAATCACAAAACTACAATATCAATATCGACTTTGTGAAATACAAGGGGGAAAATATACTTCTTAATTTATAGTGGAAGACAGTCTTGTTGATTAAGAAAACGCACGTGAATGTGCTTATCGGAACATTAGCCGCTAGGACAGCGTCGATTAATGCAATAATACTACTTTGTGCTCTTTGCTATTGTTCTAACAGTGCACTAATATCGATGGCAGGTCATTTCCGCTATAATTAACTAGGAAAGTACTTATTCTTTGATCTTAACAGAATCCGTTTATTAGTGTTTTTGTTCTCAAAAAACTGTTTTTCATTACGAGGCAGTTGTCACATGATTCAAGTGGAGAGCATAAGTTACCCCTCACTAATTATAAATGAGACATGTATTCACAGCATCACTCTCAATTGGAGCCAAACATTTCCAGCCCGGCAAGCTGTGTAGATGAATGGTAATTCCACTGAATTAGCTAAACGTGTGATTTACGGTTGAATGCAACACGTAGTTCACTATGATACCTAGTACGTAAATCAGATGTGGTTTCTACAGGTCATTGGTTCATTATCCTTCTATACAAATAGAGACACGTAACACACGTACGTTATGGTAGCACACAATCCGCTATGGGCCTGCAGAAAATCGCATAAACTCGCAGTATTGTTATATTCAAATAATGTAACTCGGACGCTAACGGTAGTTAACGGTCTGTGTCTGGTCTCGGTTCTACTTAACATCCTCGGCTCCACGCACGGGCCTTGGGCGCTTACTCAAACCTCGATCCCAAACAGGCCCTTAAATACCGTTAAATTACTGCACGCGATGTAACTCATTGTTTTCTCTAGATATTGCACGCACACACTCTTGACTGTTTTCCATATATTTATTGAAAATATCGCAACTACCCGGCTTAGGTTTGAGCTTGCATCCGCAAGCTCGAAAAGTAATATATTTTGTCATTTGATCTAACAGAAATTTGATGTCAGGGATCGGAAACTGGCGTTCAAGTGTATATTTAATATGTAAAAGTGAAATTGGAAACAAATCCCCAAGCCCAATCAGTTACACGTGATTGGCCAGTACAAACTCCAGAGGTGGTTGACGTACTGTAAATTAGATAATGCACTCGTGTCGTGCATCTGTTCACATATTTGACCTCCACTCGAGCCTACGTCCTTTGTATCGGTCAAATATGTGAACGAGTGTACTTCACTCGTGCATTATCATTTATTTAGCGTCCCCATAGCCGTTCTTATCATTGCAACACTGCGCGTGAATTAACTCCTTGTTTTCATGGCACATTCTCTTACCGATTGTCCCAGTGCGGTGCATTCCTTTGGAGCAGTCTGTCCACCCGCCATAAGGATACAACATCAACAATCGTGTCCATTTAAGATACCGTGACTGCCTGTGTATTTCATATTTTTGAAAAAAAAGTACCAACATTTGTGGCTATGGTACTAGACGTAATTGCAACGTTTCTGTTGGTTGAATATGTGAACAAATGCACTCCACTCGCGCATTACCCTTTACGCAATGCACTCAATGATGACGTTTTCAGGAAATAAAATTCATGCTAATTATTTTAATATGAAACCATATATTTTATGAAAGCTCACAATTCACACTAATTATTACTCCGCATGGTCACGTGACTTTTTATTTTACTTACAAAATGTAAAATAAATCACGAGAAGCATAACAGCGATTTTACTAATTTTGTTTTCAATGTTTATTTTTGTGTTTCCGCCAAAAT